AATGTGATAGGTTTATAAAAAGAAAACTTTTGCATTTCAGTGCAGTGGTTATTTCAGCTGAAGCTATAACAAAAGTGTCTTCATGTGCAAAGGGTTAATTTGAGGACCGCACATTTATTGTCACATGTACTAAAACTCCTTTCACTTTGCGAAAAAATTCGGATAGGAGAACGAAAGAGGAAGTGGGACAATCAGTGCGCAAACCGCTTTCAGTCGTTGAATATTAATTTCCACCCCATCAGATGAAGTTGGAAGAATCGTTCAGCAAATTATTTTTCTAGTTCTGGGGTAGAATTCTCGGCAGATGAGGCAGGAGCATCTCCTTCGAAACACTTCTCAATTTTCTGGCAAATTTTTTCGATTACTAGGAATTTTTTTTTCTGTTTTTGATACGTTTTTTTGGACTGTTTGGATAATTGACCAAGTTTTCTTTATTTGTCAGTTGTGGAAAAAAATAGACTGTCTGCCAACAAGCTTTTTTACTTTGAGTCTAAATTTTAGCTCCATCTCCATGCCCAGAAAGAATTCTGGGCTATTGATTTCATATAAACAGTTCGCATTTACTCGTCTGCGGGTTGTGTTAGAAGTTTGCAGTAAAGAAAAAATTTAGCAAAATGTATGGTGGCCACGGGTTTTATCGGCAACTTCTAAAAAACAGAAGAAACTTTTCATTGAGTCAAAAAGAGTTCATAGTCTGTTGAAAAACTGCTAAAAATTCGAGTTTAAGGGAAAATATTACTAGAACACAATACGGGTAGAACAATAGGGCCTGTGTCATTTGTCTCCGAATGCAAGAACCAAAAGAGGTAGAACAGGAGAGATCCTGAGATGTACCGTGCGAGTTACACCATCTCAAACCCCGATGAAATCGGCACAAAACTTCATTCAGTATTTTTAGCTCGACTGTAGTCTGTTCTGAGTCATCCATATTTTGGACTAGAATATTGAAATCGAACTTTCGAGTTTACAACCATTTCCTGTGCAAGTGTGCCGCATTAAATCCTCCGATATCAAGCGTCTACCTCTTAGGCAAAAATGAAGAAGTACTCACCATAGCGAATCCAACATCAGCTCGTTTCAATGCCGGTCCATCGTTAGTTCCATCCCCTGTGACGGCCACAACTTCTCGATGATTCGACGAGGTGCTCTCGACGATTCCATTGACAAGCGTGTATTTATCTTGGGGAGATGAACGAGCCAATACGCGCATATTTTGCCAAACTTCATCGAGTTTCTTTTGCGATACCTATGTTTGTTCATTCATTCATTACTCAATCTCATTTGAAGTTCGAAATCTTTTTGGCCATTTCAGCGTTCAGCTACTTACTTTACCCGATGAATCCCGAATTCGTTTATTAAATTCTTTTCCTTCCAACACGAGAAAACTGTCAGTTGGCTTGATTATATTACATTTCATCGCTATGGAACGAGCCGTATTCAGATTATCACCAGTAACCATTCTTACAACGACACCGGCTTTCTGACATTTTATAATTGCTTCCGGTACCTTCAAATGGGCATCATATTATTTGAGAAAAAACCGTACTAGGAAACTACTCCTATTGTCGATCACTTTAGAAAGGAGTCAACAGGATTGTATGTAATCGCTCGTGCCGATCAGAAATATTACATTCATTTTGCCTGTTTCAGTGCACCTTCAGAAACTCATAAAATGCTCTAGTAAAGCTACAAATTTGTTAAAGGTTTGTTATAGGATCTTATAATACTGTTGGATAGTGCTAACTGAATCTGTGCTTGTTGTATACAGCCTATTGTTTCGATGGAGCATCCACAAACTTGAAAAAGCACGGTGGTTTGCTAAGTTTTTCTCAGAAGCGTTGTACTATAAGACTTTTTGAATTGGCACAGTCTATGCAGACATTTCTTCGGTTGAGATAATATGCTTCTAACTAAGGTACGGCGTTGTGAACGAAGGTGGATAAACCATGAAATACTTCAACTAATTTTCAGAATTAAAGCTCTCTACTCTTAATTTGTTGAGCCATTCATTCTCTGAATTACAGGCAGGTTGTTTCTGTTTAAAAGAAGTTCATGTCGTTTGGTCGAACTTAGATTTTTGAATTTGTAGAATCTAAAGATCTTTGGAAAGTTTTTCATGATTTTCAATTTTTAAATAACTATCAAAGTAAACAGAAGACAAAAACCAAACATCTAGCATGACCATACGATGTAGAACTTATGTCTCTTACTTTTGGAAGTAGCACTATCCTTCTACCAACTTCAGTTCAAAAGATCTTTTGAGATCAATGGACGTTCCATTTTCGTTCATGTGGTACTTATTTGAAGTGATGGAAAACTGAAATTTACTTTGCAGAACGATTCAAGCGAATACAACATCGCTGGAAATTTCGTCTGTTTCTGTTGTGGAACCAAAAAGCTCTTTCTGGATGGAATAGCTTTTACTAAAGCTAAAAGAATTTTTTTGTAAACTGCTACTTTGTAGAAAAACTGAAATTAGTTACATCTGGAGCTTTTGTAGTGTTCTACATCAAGTCTTTGCTGGAATTGTTGGCTCTTTATTGAAACCCAACTCTTAAAAATATGCAAAAAATGAAAGGGCTCTTCTCTAAACCCTGGAAGTGCCGAATCTGACCTTTATTACAACGAGCGTATCTCGAAAAAATATTGTGAAAAACACGGAGCTTCAACCTCAAATATTGGACGTTAAACTCAGACGACATTGATACTTTTGTGAAGCACCGGCGATTAGATATGATTCTGAGTGGTGTTTCGTGTACATAACTAGTTTTTAGTTGTGACAGATTCTTTGTGAGGTGAGGTGCTTACTTCTGGTCGAACGGGATCCTCGATACCCGTGATACAAATGCATGTTAAATCGGTGACGATTTTATCTTCATCGTCCAGATTTTCCTTGTCTTTCCGAAAGTCTTTATAAGCAATACAGATCGTTCTCAGACCGTCACCAGCCATCTTCTCAATGATATCATGAATCAACTTCTCCTTCTCTGCATCTTTCAGTTCCACTTGTTTTCCATTTGAGTCAAGAATCGATTTACACCTGAACGTAGACAAGATTTTATATACTTTCAAAATGGTGCATCTCTTTACTTTGTCAGAACCATTTCTGAAGCGCCTTTCGTATAAATTCGATAACCGCCATTTTTCTCAATGATTGTACTCATCATTTTCCTTGCCGAGTTGAATGTGTACACTTTGACCAGCTTACTTTCGGGAATCTTACTTCGAATGTCGTCATAGGAACCTTTCCACTTTTTAACTAAATCCAACAAGGCACATTCCGTTTTGTTTCCAATTTGTTTTGGTAGCCCACCTGCTTCTTTAGAATCCTATAAAAAATACATCATTGAAACAGGCAGCCATTGTACCGTTTTGAGCAAAAGGGTGTCATCAGTATAAAAAATCATTTCTAAAAAGACCTTTCATCTAAAAGCTACCATTGAAAACGAAAGTTCTAGGCACTTACTGTCCTTTTTTCAGGGACCTGAATAGGAAGTGAACTTGAGGGTGTAAAAAGGTTTATACGGCTCACGCAGCGAAATTTGTTTTGGGGGAATATACACCTCCGCGTCCTCCCTCGAATTCAGGTCTCTGCGGTTTTTCAACGTCAACGTCAAAGCCGGGAAAAACTTGCAGGTAAACGTTTTTCTTTATCATTAGCGTTAAAAAAAACGTTTTGGCTCCTATCAACGTTTTGGCAAAGTTTTGGCTCCTATCACAGCTGAGAACCTTGCTTGGCTGAGAGTCTCTCAAGGGAGACTTCTTTTGAAACAAAGATTCTGACAAAAAAAGGGAAGTCGTTTTATACACAGAAATGTTTGCCTTTTTTTATTTTCAACAAAAGAATCAATTTTTGTATAAAAATTACAAGTTATGTTTAGTTCACTTTTTATATTTAAGAAACAGTCTCTCGAGCCGATTTATTTATATGTTCTTGACAATGAAAGCATTAGAAAAGCTGATTTTTCTACTATATCTTTCCACTTAAAAATAAGAGTCTGAACTGTCAGTGACTGCAAGCCCAGACAAGTCTTGTAGGATTTTCATGCAGTTTGGTCAATAGGATCGATTCGAGCAGCCTTCTCTTATTAAAGTATCCTGTCGGTAGTTTTGGAAGCACTGTGCAATGATTCACTCTTATAGAAGGCTATCTGCAAGGTTTCTACCTCGATTTTCGATGTATAATTCGTATTCACTGATATTGATTCATGTGTCAACGACAGCATTTCTTGATTTATTTCCTCCGCTTGCGGTATCTTGTCGTAATATGTCTTCCCAATGTAGACTTGAACACATGTCATTCGATTCGTTGTCAACGTGCCAGTTTTATCCGAACAAATTGTTGTCGCATTTCCCATTGTTTCACAAGCGTCCAAGTGACGAACCAAATTATTATCAGTCATCATTTTCTAGAAAACTAATTTTAGTAAAGCACAGTTCGGCTTCAGCCAAATAAACCCTTACCCTAACAGCAAATGCCAACGCCAATGTGACAGCTAAAGGTAGACCTTCTGGTACTGATACAACAACAACAGTTATGGCTTGAATCAAAAAGTCAATGAAATACCGGACATGTCTCGCCGAACCCCTTTTCCCCTTAATGACGTATTGGGTTATGCAGAATCGAGCGATTAGGCAGACCAACGTCAAAAACGCTGCTCCCATGCCTGCAAAAATATTCATGTTTTTACCCAGCCAGTATACTACTATAAAACGTACCTATATAACCGATGATCAGCGCTATTCGAGTCAATTTCATTTGCAAAACAGCTAAAATGAAACGCATTTATGAAGTTAGACGAATTAAACATGAGAATGTCTCCTACATTTATGCTTTCCATCGCCCGATCCTTCTTCATCTTCCTCTTCTTCGGCCTGTGCGTCTTGCAATGCTTCAACTGCAGGCGCTACCGGTTCAATCTCTTTTTCTTTTGATACGCGTTCATTCAATTTCTTTGGCCCATTTGACTTTGGATTCACTGTTGTTTCAGAACGAAAAGATTGTTTTGTTTCACCGTCATGGGCTAAATTGATAGCAGCGTTAAAAAATCTGTATTGAATGAAGAGTTTCAGACACGGTTTCTAGAGTGGAAATTGTCCGCAAAATGCTTCATATTTTGATAAAAGAAAGTTATTGCTACTGTCAGTCCGTATCGGCACTCTTTAAAACGGTAGAGCCGTATAAGGAAGTAAAAAAACGTCTCGTTTCCTAAAACTCGAATCTGACGGAACGCAACTGTAAACAAGTTAATACCCATCGCCTTCTCGTTGAAGTATATACTTTCTGTAGTTCTGATTAAAGATGTTCTGGCTGTGCATAGCGATATAAATAGATCTCTAGAGATTTATTACGATGGCGAATGCGAAGTGTCAATTCACCTATACCTCCGCCAAAATGTACCAAAAATCCTGAACTGCTCTGCTGATACAATGTTCTCGAATACTCAAGAGCCGCTTCTTTAGAAACCCTACACATAAAACATCGGAAATTTACTAACTCAAAAAGTTTTTAACCAACCGGTTTTAATTAGACCGATAGAAAAATTATACAAACCGGCCCCGTTCCAACCCTGCCTAGAGTACCGAACGCTGCAGCTTCACCATAAAGGGCAAACTAGTTCTAAACGCATTTAGCCGCCCTCAAAAAGTGAATTTCATCAAGAACATGTATCATTGTAAACAAAATCAAACTTTTCTAAAATTATGCTCGTCAAATTTTTCTCGTTCCAGCGAACTGTGTAACTCACATCTTTGAGATGGTTTTTCGTCGTGGTCCGAATTACCATCTTTTTTCTTCGTTGTTTCTGTGAAATGCTCATTAATTACTTCATCGTTTTTATCACTAGCAGCGGCTGTGCTCTTTCTTGTTGAAGATGATTCATTTTCACCCGTTTGTTTTGGCGGAGTCTGCTGGCGTTGTTGTGTTACTTGTTTTGTCGTTGTTTCAGTTTTGGCGTCACCGTTTTCTACCGCATCCGGCGACACTTTTGTCCCTTTCTGCTTCTTTGTCTGCTTGGCTTTCTTCTTGTTCCCTTTCGTCTCAGCCGTTGCTCCCAACAAAGACATGATCAGGCCGACTTGTGAATTCAAACCGACTCCAACAACAACCATTCGGCCACTGCCTTCCATCACGTGCGTACCTAGACCCAGTCGATGATGTGAGTTGTTTGAGGGATCAAACAAGTAATTCGCTCCTACCTGAGAACAACTCGATATTGTCTGTCTCATTCTTCTTTATCAAATCAGTTTCGCCTAAAACTCAAACTTAATTAAACTTAAACTACGAAACGAAACGTTTTTCGTTTCACGTTCCCTAACCTGTTAATGATGACTCATCGATTTTCAAATCGCTTGCTTGAACAATGAGACCGTCAGCCGGTAGCAAATCACCTTGAAAAAAACGAAACAGTTTATTAGACATAACAAATGTAATCTCTTCTCACCATATTTAATGAAACAGAGGTCGCCAACAACCAAATCTTGAATGGGTATCTGCTGAATTTTGTTGTCTCTCACGACGGATGTTTGTTGATCTTTCTCGATTTTCGATTGTAAACCACGAAATTGACGCTCTTTTCGCCAGTCATTGATAGCAGTAACAAATACGACGACTAATACGGCAATTAATATAGCCACACCCTCGATCCATTCAAGATTGGCTAAACGAGGAATGACCTGGATGGGTTTTTGTCGATCAAAGTAGTCTTCAGATTTAACGTAAAGACCGATCATTTTATAAGTCTGGAAAAACAATTAGCGCTCAAATTTCGATACTAGACCTGAAAAGGTTTTGTAGATCTCAAAAGTGTTTGATTCTGTTAAATTTCCATACTATACTACCATTTGTGTGTGTGTGTGTAACGAATTGATATGCAAAGTGATTTTCCAAAAGTGACTTTACTGGGAAAATGGATGTCTGAACTACAAGTCATTGTACAAAACGTATCGGAAACTGATTATGCTCGCCGTACTGGTTTGTCAAAAGCGACAAGAGCGAAAGTTTATACTGGGAAAACAGCCCAGAACTGGCAATTTCCCCCCATTTAACGCTCGTGGACATGCGGACACTTTCCGTTGCGGAGCACCTAATCGCTAAAAGCTGCTCTTCAATGCATGACTTATAGAAGCCGTAAATAATCTTAGATTACGACTTTAGAATCGAATAGTCCAGTATGACCATCATTAACGGTTATAATTTGCAAGGTGACGCTCTGACAAATGAAAAATGATATCACTTGCTGATCTATTTCCCTTAATAAACAAATATGGATTCTAACTCGTTTTGTAGATAAGGGGCTGAAAATGGAAGATAGCTTTCATGACGGATCCAACAGGTGACGCAAAGTTTTACAGTAACTTTGTTTTTGATATAGCGTGCTATGAAATATAGTAAAGACTTTATCCTTTTTTGGTTGGAAAGAGCAAAGCGTATAGTACAAAAGTATATAAGAATGTTTAATTAGAATTGTTTTCCAAAGGGCACAACAATCTTAGAACGGAAGCATCGGAAAACTGTTCCATAATCTTGTCGAATTTAGAGAAAACTCTGCCCAATTAGAAAGGTTATCTTTTTATTCGTTTTACTCCGGGTTTTATAATGTAAGGATAGGACACTACTACTGCACAAAAAAGAAACTTCCTTCCTGTTTTATAACAGTCGGCTCTTTTATAACATCCTATGTTACCACCGATTTTCCATCACTGTCGATCGCAGTGGAAAAAAGAAATTCTACTCCGAGATGGAAGTTGCCAGAAACTATATACTTTACATGAAAAAGAAAACTTCTTGAGTTCTCTACCAAAGGATACCATTTGGAATAGAACACAGCTGTTCTGTAAGATATTAGGACGAAAACTTGTTTGCCCGTTGTAAACACCAAATTGGGTTTTTAATCGAACGGTCTTCTGTTCAGTCTCTTGTACCCTAGGCCAACCTTTATAATATTATACGAAAGCCTTCGTTGTGATAAACAATCTCATATATATATATATGGTGCTCCAAACCATCGAAAGTAAGTAATGGAAAAGGTCAAACAAATATAGTTGCATACAAAAATTATAATCGAAGTTACGGAACACTTTTCCGATACCTTTTGTTCTAACATTTTTGTAGCCTTCGGGAAATATTTCCGATCAAACATTTTTATGTATTTTGTACTATAGACTTTGCTCGTTCTAATCAAAAATGGATAAAGCCTCTACGATATTTCATCGCAACGCTATATCAGAAACAAAATTAATGCAGGACTTTTGCCTCATCCGTTAGTTTCTTACATGAGGTCACAATGCCTAGAATATAGGTCTTTTGGCGGATCCAATACTAAAGTCGAGATAGGGACTGAAAACTTTAGAGAATTATTTGTGGCTTTTACATAGCAACCGCTGTCTCGCCCGGAGGAAATTGAATAGAATGAATTCAACATAACTCGAATTCGATCTGAAACTTGAAGTTTCTTTAAACGTTATTTCTTGACTCAAACGGACCAAAAAGTTTTTCCAGACAACCCAAATTGACTCGAAATCGAAAAATTTTCTCGATTTTTCTAAAGAGTATCAGTTATGAAATGAAAAGTTGATATTAACAAAAAGAGTTTCAAGGCGACATATAAAAAAATCTGTAGTTGAAAAAGTGCCGTTGTAAATTTCGTTTTATTTATAAATTTATGAACAAAACGAAATTTATAACTGTTGCACTAGAATTCAAATTTTGTTATAATAACAAAAAAAAATAAAAACTATCATTTAAAAAACAAAAGGAAAATTAAAAAGAAAGGAGAAGAGATAGGAAAAAAGAGCGTGGAAGAAGTTGGGGATATGCACAATAAGTTAGCTGTTAAATCGTTTAGAGTATTCAATAAATTTTATAACAGCAGTTTTATAACAGCAGAATAGATTGTGGAGTATTCATCATATGCAAGCCTATTTTTTAATAGCAGATTTTTAACATCAATCCTAATTTTTCGTGGTATCGAGCCGGTGATAGTACTCGTCATCACAGTACAATAAGGAGTAGAGAAAATAAATAACAACGAAGAAGAAAATGTTCCACTGTTTCAGGTACACCACATTGACAGAGATTACTTCCAACTAGACGTTTCCGAAAAAGGTAAGAGTTCAGGTCAGAAAAAACACATCTTAACTGGTAATAGATCTGATCATACTCTCTGTTCACACCATAGATTTTAAAAACTTTTATATTATTTACCGTCGAGACTAATTTACTTTTAAACTCTTTAATTTTCGTACATGATCTCAGATTATTATCTAACTTATTTCACTCAAGTACGAAACGAGAAAATAAAGACATTTCGAACCTCTTTGAACCTGTGAGTGTATTTAGTTTGTTGGATGTTTGGAAACGCAAAACGTGATGGAACTTTGTGTTTTTTATTAGTTTATCCTGTAAGTGTTCAGGAGTTAATCCCATTAATATTTTAAACCCTAGTAACAAAACATTGTTCAAAAAAGTTCGTTCGATGTCTAACCACCCCAAACAGTGTAACATCTTAAGCTTATCCGTTAGACGTTTACACTCGGAAACTAGGCATGCAAATTTATACTGAAGAGAAACAATAGGACGGAGATCGGTTTCATGTGTTGAAGAATAAATGACAGATGCGTAAATTACAATCAGAAACACAAAGGCCTTCTACATTTGGTCCAAAACTGTTCTGTAGAAAATATTTTTATATTAGTACATTAAGAATAGAATTTTGCTAAATCTAGTGTGAAGGTATATTTATAACTGTCAGTCCAAAAAAGGCCGCAAAATGACAATTTTGTTTTACTGGAAATGGCCTTACTTCGCTAATTTTCTGTCGAACTTTAGCCCACAATCAGGTGCCAACAACCCTTTATGCCACGATCAGCTACCAATTCTTTATCAAAAGCATCGTCGGAACTGAATTCGTTTCCTGTCTCTTGGTTAGAAGTCAGCAACATCTTGCAAGAACTGAACTGCAATAAAGCCGCTTCTGGTCCTATTAATAATCGTATTTTGAAAAATCTGAAGGCTTCTATCTTCTTCAGTTAGTACTATACTTCAACATTCTTTTAGCACATCCTGATCATCGCTTTGTTGCAAAAGAGAGCACGACCAATCTCCTTCTGGATGTTGTACATAAAATTAACGCTGGAATGGAACAGAATGGTATAGTAAGAGCCATTCTCTTGGATTTTCAAAAAGCATTCGATAATGTTAGCCACCAGGGGCTGCTGATGACGTTAGAAAAAAAAGTATAAACTGGAAACTTTTGAAGTGGTTCGAAAATTAACTTCACAATCGAACAATTCAGACTGTGTTTGACGGTCTACATCGGGAAAAATAATTACAAGGTTTTACAGGATCCTTGATCCCTGCTGTTCCTAATATATATTGACGACTTATCAACTGGCATTCAAAATTCGATAAAATTATTCGTTGATGATGCCATTTTATTCCATCCCAGGCGTCAAAAAAAAATCTAGTATCGCCCGATTCATCTAGATTACCAGATTTTTACTCGATTACAACTGTTGGGTAACGACAGTGGAAATCTAGTAATCGGGCGATTGCTAGATTTCTTCTAGTTGCAACTATCAATTTATCACCCGATAATCGATCGATTTAACTGTTGCCAGTTACACATGCAGACGCATCTAGTTAGAAGTCCCTTTTCCAACTAGTAATCTAGATGGCAACCAGTCGTGCATCGTCCGATTACAGACAAAATGTATCTATTTTTCCCATAGGTGATTTTTGGTTGGGATTCTGACAGAAACCATTTAGTAGCAACAAACCTAATGAATGATGATTTAACGAGTGTGCCATAATAAACTGGACTAAATGTTACTGCATATTATGCGTACTTTCTCTTCAAAAAAAAAAAGTTCCGTTATATACCACAAGATAGAAAATTGAATTCTCTACAAAACCTACTATCTGAATCTCTGAGCATTTTTCTTGTTTGAGCACCATTCAAAATATTGAAGGGTGCTGAGCCATCGAACTGCGGCACACTGAAAATAGAAAAACATTTGCCTTGATTCAAAAACAGATTCCACAAGAATTTTGAAAATATTAGAAGATTCACCGGAAAATTTTGCATCTTCTCACATATTTTTCAAAATTTTGCAGTTAAATCTTCTAGAAAAAATTTTCTGTGGAAAAAGCTGTTAAATCTAAAAAAACCTAACTTTTGAACCTATTTTTCATAGACGTCTATAAAAGCAGTAAAACGTTCTAAATCCAGGGTTTTAGTCTTATTATCTTACATAGAAATTCTGTGTCTTTTGATATATAAACAAAGTTTCTCAATTGAAACCATTAATTAAAAAACTTAATTTAATTTGAAAAAGTTGAAAAGCCGGTTGAAAACTAATTATGAGGCCAGCTGACGTAGTGGAAACATTGCATGAGGTTGTAAATGAGTCAGATCGATAGAGCGAAAAATTCTCTATCTGTCTACCTAGAAAAATTAACTATTGAACCTCAAACAATGGGCTAAAAATCTAAAAAAACCGAGACGACAAAAGGACGTCGCAGTTCGACAGCTCAGCACCCTTCAATATTTTGAATGGAGAGTTATACTTTTTATTTGAAGAGAAAGTACGAATAATATGCAGTAACATTTAGTCCAGTTTATTATGGCACACCCGTTAGTAAAGATTCAAAATTGGCTTCAAAAAAGGCACATTTATCTTAATTATAAAAAATGCGAAGCTGTCACTTTTGTAGCAGTGCATAACGTTTT